TTGCAAATTGGTAAAAACAAGGCTTCTAAGATTAAGCTGGATCTGAAAGAAGTCGCACTAACAGCTAAAAAGAATTTATTCAAAAACCCTATTGGGGTATATAATTAAAATACAATGAACAGCACTCATTTCGAGTGTACAGTTTGGTCCCTTCTGACCCCTGTATACGCCCTTATAGCCGTCGCCACAGTGAAGATGAGGAACATTTCCTCCCCCCTCAGCCTCCTGTGCCCCTCCCACCTTTCCTCTCCATTCCCATATCACCGCCCATCAGTTTGGGTCACTACAGGTTTGTTTCTATTTTTTAAAATTGCTAGTAAGAATTTTAGAGTGAACTGGAAACAGTGTCCAGATAAGACAGTGCTGTCTTCTCAAAAAAGGTGGGGATAGTCCAGGTGGGCACAGAGACCCTGGGGCCCAGCAGTGAAATCCTAGAGGTTGCCTCTCACTGCCCCTTGAGGAACGAGCCATATGCTAGCCCGGGCGGTGGCCCGTGACTTTGAAACTTTACAGTAAGAGTTCGCGAAGTGGATCCCAGGGTCTCGGGTGGACGAAGTAGAGGATGGGGGCGTGGAGACGGCCAAGGCACTGACCCTGAAGGTCAAGGGCATTCCTCTTTGCCAAGATCAGAACCAAAGGAACAAAGTGTCAACCGAAGCACAGGGAATATAGGGGGAGACCCTTGAATGCCAGTGTCGCTAAACAATGGAGCAAATTGGTAGGGGAAATAGTGAAGGAGCTCCTTGGGGCAATTATCATGAAAACTGATTTTAAAAAAAATAAACAAATTCCTATCTTTATGAATTGAAGTAGCCATGGTCCAGCCTAAAGGCAGAGGGATCGATGAAAGACATTCTAAATTCTCATCCAGGTCTGATTCAAGCATAAAGAAAGTTTTAAAGTGTTTTCTATACAAACATGCTTTGAAGAGTAGCTTATCAAGTGCGCATTTAAAAGTGTCTGAGTCTAACTTGACCAGCTCCACTCTGAGACTGTGGGCAGTAAGCCTTGTGTCCAGAAGGGCCAGCAATGTGCCCGTTCTCTTGATGTAGGACATGAGTCTGCTACCTCTGGGACATAATTTTAGGCTCAGAGACAGTAAAACGGCATAATTAAAAAGTGATGTGACTGACGTCTACAAATAAATCATGCTCATTCCCCCACCCCCACCCCACACATCCCCTCTCAAACCATTAGTACTTAATGGACACGATTCTATCGTTGAACAAATATCATCTCCCACATCTTAGGACCTTTCAGTGGTTCGGGGCTACAGGTGATCAATACGTGCTCCCTGAAAAATCACTTTGTTTATCTTCTATAAAACCACACTGCAATTACATCAGCAATTAATGTGGAATGAATTGGAAATCCATTTTTGAGTGTCCCCTCATCTGGGGAGGCGGGGCGCCCTGGGGGAAGTACATTGAAATCGTTAAGGATGGGAAATCATCCCCAGCGTGGCTTTTCTCACACTGGGAAGTAAATGTCTGTGAGCCTGACTGCTCCCCGCAGCGGATCACAAATGCCGTATCTGTCCCCCTGTTCCTGGTCCCCAAGCCAGTGTCTGGCACAGAGCTCAATAAATGTCCATTGGATAAAGGAACGAGCGAACCGCGAACCGGAGTTGCTGCCGAGCACTCAGGCGGCACCTGCCAGAACTTGCAGCAGCCGCGGCTGGAGAAAGGACCGGGCCCAGGAGACTCGCAGTGACGGTGACGCGTGAAGACCGCCGCTCAGGCCGGCTGGGCCCTCGGGCTCTCGGGGAGCCGTGCAGCGCAGCGATCCTCCCTTCCCTACTCTGTGGGGCTTGCACGTCCCGAAAAGTGTGGCCCTTTAGTCCTCGCAGCAGACTCTGATTTCCAAAGGCCTCATGGAGAGGCGGCGTCCCGGGAGCCTGGGGAGTCTCCACTCCATCCTGTGGGAAATCATGTTAATTAAAGTGAACGTGGAGCCGTCTGGCTGTTTGCCACAGCACTAGGGACTTGCGAAAAGAGAAAGTGCAGGGCAGTCAGCTGCCAACTTCCAATATCTATTTAGAGCCGGAGAGCCTCTACAGCAGCTCTTCTTTTTATTATTTCTAAAACTTTTCATAAATAAGGTTGTATTGAAGTGTAACCTCTGTAGGTTACATATTATATAACTATAGACCTTGATGTATTTCCAAAGTGAACCCCTCCATCTCACCAGCCCCCAGATTAATAAATATAAGATATTTTGGAAAATACAAAAAAGTATCGAAGAAAACCATGGTCAGTCACAACCCACCACCTACAGATGACGCTCTTACTTTTGGGGACATTCTTTTACTTTTAAAAATGCACGTGCATGCTAGGTGTCTTAGAAAAGTGTGACCGCCTTGATGTGGGGTTTTAGATCCTGCTTTTGTCATTTCGTTTTTCCTTTTTGAGCCTGGTTTATTTTTTCTAAAAGGAAAAATCCCCTCTCGGCCTTCCCAATGTCTTTCTTAGAAGTTACCATGGTAGCAGCTTGGTGCGTAATTCTTCCAGATAGTTTCTGTGTTTATACAGATAGGAAAAACAGATACCTTTGAAAACATATGCCTCTTTTTAAACAATAAGTGCGGTTATGCTCTATGTATTGTTTACGTCTGTTTACTGACCAACACACCCACTTACTGATGTGATACTCACTGGGGCTGCCTCCGGGCGGACTAAGCGCCAAGGACCTCTCCCCGGGGTGACAATGACCTCCTCATTTTGAAAAACGGGTTCAGAGGATTCCATAAAAAATTGATTTAACGATTCGCCTACACTTTCAGGTTGGTTGTCGTGTTTTCACTTTGACCAACAATGGTCCTTCCGTTTGTCTCACACTCTGCTGGCCCAGATGACAAGGAAAGTGGCAGGTAATTCAGCAGATGGACTAACTGCCCTCCTCTCTCAGCTACCACCTGTCTTCTGGGTACATCATCTTTAAAATACTGATTGCTGCTCCATGAATTACTGCTGCATGCCACCATTTTTATTCGTTTGTTTTTCGCTTTGCTCCCAGAGTTGGGTGATTTCTGGTGTGTCCCTCGGTGTCTCAGTCTCTGCCAGCGTGCACTGCCTCCCATCTCACGGGCTGTCAGAACCAGCTAACGCGTGCCATGCTCCGTCGGTGATGCCGCAGCTAATTCACTCAGCCCGGAACACTTCTTTTACAGAACACTTTTGAAATTAGAGGCTCCTCCCCTAGGAGAAGCTCGATAAGTTGCACGTGATTTCTGTCCCGCGGAAAGGCTCGCCCCAAGGGTGACGGGTTTGGGCACAGAGCAGTTTGGTGTCTAACTTGCGGTCGTGTCCAGGGTGAGGTATGAAATAGGTTCTAGCTCCTGTTGGGAATCGGCAGCGGCGACCACGGTCGCGTTACGGTTCTTACACTTGAAACTGCCCCTGGAGCGTGTGAGAGCCAGCGGCGTGGGCATCGTCCCCGAGGGGAGGCTGCGAGCGCGAATGCAGCTGGGGGGCCGTGGGGAAGCATGCCAGGGCTGTGCCAGGCGGTTAATTAAGGTCGAGGGGCCCCGCCTCGGCGTGTGTCACACTCTCTAGCATTTGGTTTGTCCAAGTCGCCCCCATGCACAATCCACTCTAATCACAAAATCTGCAGGGAGAACGCTGGTCTGGTGGCTGCAAATGTGAGACAAATGTTCAGATGAACCTCAGACGGCAAATTCCAGCTGGTTTGTTCTGGAGCAGGGTCCCTGTGGGCATTGGTCCTTGATTTCTCTGTCCCCTGAGAATCGTCACAAAGAATCATAGAAGCTTTCCCCTGAATGAAAATAGATCCCTCCGGACCGCAACGAAGAGTTTCCTGGTAAAGCAGGTCCCCGGAGTTGAGGGGGCGCTGCCCCATTTCCTGGCAGCCTGCTGGGGAGGTGGCAAGACCCCAGAGAGAGGCGCATTCAAGAAGGCTCCTGGCACAGGGGCAGCCAAGAGCTGCCCGCCTGAAGGAGTCAGGAAGACAGATGTCACTGTGACTCCCTGTGGGCACCGATGACCAAGGACCAAATAGGCTTCCCTTACCCCTACACCTCAGCACTGTGCAAGACCCCGGGATTGGGGGGCCACCTAAAGGGTGAGGTTTCTCACGAAGGACTGAGATGCTTCTTCCTGGAGCCCAGAAGAGTGGGGATGGAGGGAGAAGTTAAGTAAAGTCATGGACTATATGGCAAGTTTTAGTTCTCAAATTCCTTAGTTCATGAAATAAAATTTACACTCATCACACACCCCAGGATATCAAACCTCTCTTCTCCTGCCTGTAGCCCACCCCTCCTCCTTTCCCTGCACGTGGGGTGAGAGACAGGGTGAACGACCATCACTGTGGGGCTCCATTGGGTTGCGATAACTCACAACTACACTCCCTCAAACTCTCCACGTCCCTACAGCCGTGTGCTCAGTAAAGCGAGGTCAGACAAAGCCCGACGGCCTGGCAGGGAGAGGTTAATCCCGCCCGCCCTGAGCACCACTGGACGCTTCCCAAAAGATGGCTTTGGGGCAACCCAAGCATTTTTCTGAGTATCAGGTGTCCAAAAAAAGCTATTTAGGTGACTCAAATAGAGATTAAAGACTTTATTGAACTGACGCCCATCAGAGAGCACCTAGGGGACAGGTGACCTGGATTAAAGCAGGTCGGGGTTTTTATAGAATGGGAAAGCTGAGTACATGACCGTGTGGTTTGCCTTTAGGCAGCAGTTTGTGACTTTAATGGAGACTCATGGTTTGGAGGTCATTCCTGGTTTTGTGCCCTTGCTCAGGGTCGATGGTCCAACCCCAACACCATCCCTGTAGAAAAGCCAAGTCTTTGCCAGTCTTGTGGCTTATCACCTAGGCAAAGTTTGCCAAGTGGGGGAAGCTTTAGAGCAGCAGAGAAAGGAAGTGGGCAAGGTTAGAAGGCAAGGAGGAAACGGGGGCCCTATCATGCGGGTTTTCGAGAATCCCAGAATGTATTACAAATGAGAGCGTGCAGGCGAGGCCGCGTGGGGAACCCTCACCTACAGAGTCTGCCCCGTCCTTGAAGGTCATCGCGGCAACGCCCCCATAGGCTCTACCTTCTCCCATCCCTGTCCCTCTGCTCAGACATAGGGGCATCCTTTGTGGCCACCTTTATCGGGGCCGACAGACAGTGCTCACCTCTGTAAGGCCAGGGACAGGTGTAAGGACCCTGAGACACTGTAGCCCTGCCTCGCTCAGTCTTTCCCTCTTGGCCTCCTGTCACCTTCCTGGTCTCTCTTCCTCGTGTGTTAGGCCACCTCTTAGCCTGCGCCCTCTTCGATGAGCTTTGCCAGCCTCTCCTCCATTACTCAAGCCACCTTCCCATTTCTCCAGGGTGCTCCCCAAGGCTGGCGTCCTGGGCCACTCGCTCAGGCTAGTCGGCAGGCGCTGACCCTTCAAGCCCTCGGGTCTCCCCTTCTTCTCCCGGCCCTTCCCCGCCCCTCCTCTCTTCCTGGGCATTTTCCACCAAGGGCGTGGTGGTTCCATGTGGAAAGTCCCTGTTGCCTTCTGGCGAGGTCTACCTTAGCCCGGCCCTTGTTCCCTGGCGTGTTGGAAAGGCAGCCGTGGAGACGCAGCCGTGGGAAGCCCGCGCAGGGAACCTGGAAACGCTCCCTCTCCCCGAGGCCACGGAGGCCCTCCGCCTGCTGGAGAGGAGACACCTCCTTTTCCAAAAGAGTCTCCACTTTCATCTGAGTAGCGCAACTTCTGGGAGCAGGGGACAATCTTCGGCGTCCCTCAAGCTCAAACAGTCCGTTTGTCCTTGGCTGTTTCACAGATGAGGAAACTTAGCCCCAACCCTCCTGGGTGAGGGTCGTGGAGATGATGGCCGTGCTGTTCCCACGGCACCTTGTCCCTTTCCTCTCTGGCCAGAGGTGTGAGCAGGGCCCCAGTGGCACACAAAACAATTGTTTAAAAGTCACCCCTTCTGGGCAGGCTTGTTGCTTAAAGCTCCCCCTTCGGACACTGCAAATTACACAAAGGAGCCCCTCAGGAGACAGACGGAGCACAGGTGGGACTGCCACCCACTCGGCCCCNCCCCTTCGGACACTGCAAATTACACAAAGGAGCCCCTCAGGAGACAGAGCACAGGTGGGACTGCCACCCACTCGGCCAAGCAGAGACTGGTGCCAACCGCAGAACCCTAGGGATAGAAAGTGGGTGGGGGTGGGCGTGGTCCTGGGTTTCCTGGAGGTGCGCTTTCAAAGGCGAGGATGGGTTCAGCATCGCACCGCTGCAGGGCAGGCTGCAGGGAAGGATCAGGGTGTCCCTGGGGCTCGGAGAAGGCTGCTAGGATGGGATCTTATTTAAGCTGAATGTTAAAGTTTGTCTGTATCTAGATAAAGGCAGGAAAACAGAAAGTCATGGGCGTTTTAGACAGAAAGAACACCACCTGCTAATAACACAAGGAGGCAATGAAACACCCTGGCTTTTCCGAGGTCTGAAGGGAAATTTGGTGTGTGGAGGTGCCCAAGGGACTTGGGCTCTGCGGGCCTGGAGACCTGCAAACTGGCTGGGCTGCAGAACTGATTGGTGATAGAAGTGAGGACAGGAGAGGTTTGCAAGGACAGGAGACTGCCACCCAAGCGTTTAAGGCTTTGGAGTTGAACTGCAGGTTATGCCAAATTCTAGGCTGCAGACACGATGTGGTTTCTAAAACATGAGGGTGAACCATATGAAATAACCGATTTTGCAGGTGAAAAGCAGTAGAAGATCAGGAGCTGCATATGGTTCAACCTACATAAACTTTAGTGGAAGCTGAGTTTCTGGACTGGGTTTCAGCTAAAGAATCTTGCTTATACGTTCTCTGTCCTTCTAACAGGAACTAGCTAGTTCTCTCGTATTTTATGTGCCCCCCTCGCCTGCCTGCTCGCAGCTTTCGGAAGGCCGGCTGGCGTATCCGGAGGAGTGGGTCCGCCAGCCTTAGTCACTGGACAACTTCCTTGGAGCCTTCCCGACTCAGCTGGGTCGAACAGCCGTCTCATGTGCAGCTATCACTCCTAAACTGAGTCAGAGAGACAGTTTACCAACCATTTCCTTCACGAACCTTGAAGTGGCAGCAAATGCATCCCTTGTGTCTGAGCCCAAGGTAGTGCCAGCACTTCTGTGAGCTCCCCAAAGCTGACGGTTTCCTTCGCCCGGGGACCGCTCTCACAGGAAGAGAAGCGCTCTCCCGGCCCCCATGCTGCGTGGAAACCTTCCCGAACAGTTCCCATCATATCCTTTCCAGCTCATCATTTGATGGACTGACGCAAGCAGCTTCCTTCGGCCCATCAAAGGCTTTAGAAACGGCGAGAGAAAGCAGCGCCCTGTGGCGGCGTCTAGGAATGAGATGAACACCCGGGGCGCGCTCTCCTAGCTCCCTCTGGCTCCCAGGCGCACAATTAGGGTGGAATTTTTCACGCCCACAAGCATCTTATTCTTTGTCTGCTGTGCTGTGCTTCGTGCCCTACGGTTTCCAGCCTGCGGAAGGGGAGTAGCAACACGCAGCCTCGCTGCACGCGATTCTGGGGCTGCTGTCAGCATCCCCCAGGCCCCCCCATGTTGCGGGGGCGTCCCTAAGGTAGAGCTCGTCCAGGCCGCGGGCGCCAGCCCTGGCCCCGCTGAGGTCGGGAGAGGGCTCCGCCCTGTTCCCCGGAGCCGCAGCTCCCTAGCAGGACTCTCAGGTTTGGGAAGTAGAAGAAAATAGAAAAAGTCCTTCATGTTTAGTCCCTTCAGGGGCCACCCAGCCCGCATGGCTTAGCGGTTGAGCATCGACCTAGGATCCAGGAGATCGGGGTTCGATTCCCGGTCAGGGCACGTGCCCTGGGTGCGGGCTCGATCCCCAGCAGAGGGAGCGCAGGAGGCAGCGGATCTATGACTCTCTCTCATCATCGATGATTCTGTCTCTCTCTTCCTCTCCCTTCCTCTCTCTGAAATCAATAAAAATATATCTATTTTAAAAAACCCTTCCGTGGTGTCCTACACCTACGGAAGGAAGTCCAAGCTCCCTCGCCCAGCCTGTGGGGTCTTCATGATCTGCCCCCAGATGGTCTCCACCTACGTTTCCTGTCTTTCCCGTTGCAGGCAACCTACACTCCTGCCATTTGCGATGCTTCTCGATTGCCGGCTGCTCTCTACATGTGCCTTTCTTTTACACAGTCCCAGAGCGCAATTTCCCCTCACTCTCCAGCTGACTAAGAGGCACTTCAGAAGCTGGGTCAAGCACTGCGGGGCCCTGCCTGAACAATGACGCTGCTGTCACCTGTAGCCGGCGTGAGCGGTGGCCGGTGGAAGACCTGCACCGCCTGGCCGCCGCTCCTGTCGTATCCCAGCCAGAGCCGCCGACCCCTCCGCCCTCCTCGGCACAGCCGCTCCCTCTGGACCTCCTCGCCCCTTCGAGGCGTCCTCTCCTTTGCACGTCCTGGGGTTGGGCTCCGCCTTCAGTACGAGCCCATTGCCTTCTGACTGTCAGGCATCCCTCACGAGTTTTCACTAACGGCAACCTCTCTCACTTTTCAACATAGTTACGAATTTTTTTCAAGATACATCTTCCTAAATTTCAAGGGATTTGTGTGGGGAGAGCACAGTGGATGCATATGGTTCTCCTGGTCCAAGAGAGGCAGGTTTTTAAAAAGTATTATGAGGCAATTAGGCAGCATTGACAAGGACGTCCTTGGGTTCCCAGAGCAGAGATACGGAAACTGCAAAATTAGGGTCCGGCCTTTTCCCCATGAAGGGTCCTGGGACCGAAAGGAGGGGCCTAGGGGAGGGCTGTGCTCTGCAGCCCCGTTCCTGCCACGGTTCACTATTACCCGTCGTCATGACAGTGGCTTGGTCACCACACGGTGGTGTTGCCACTGGCTGGACGGCACTCAGACCCACGGTGCTCAGAAGCTAAATCGATATTGATTGTGAGGTGATAAATGACCTGAGGCACAACCCCTATACCTGGTAATTGCCCCTTTATCAAAGGAAGAGCTTAATAAGACTGTTAAATGTTTTGCAGGTAAGAGCTTGGGAATCACTGCTGAGAAGAGGTCAGCGTTATGGAAAGAGGTTGAATCTGTTTGCAGACCGATAGGGAGCTGTGTGATACAGGAGAAATTGCCCATGAAGAGCAGTAGAGATAACAAGAGTGCCCATGCTGTTCTGCCTCCCCCGGTTTCGCTGAGGAGGAGCGGTGGGGAGCATCGCCCACCCCCCTGGGCTCCGCCTGCCTGGCTCCTGACCCTACAGAGTTAACAGGGGCAAGGATACCCATTGGAGGGTATCTGAAAGTAAGGACCAAGGTGGTCTACTTGACCTTCCTTTGATCTGCGATCCCTAGGACAGCGTCTCAGTGTCCTCCTCTTGGCTAAGGACCTCGCACCCCCTGCAAAGACAGTGGAAACAGCAAGGAGAGAGAACCAGTTCCCCTCGTGGCACCAAAAGCCATTTGTGGCCTGGCCCTTGCCTGTACGCCTGGAGGTCCCCAGGATTAGACTATTTTGGGGGACTTTACCATCCCCTCTCTGATAACTGTCGCCAGGCCATCACCAGGCCATTTCAGATAAATCATCTAAGTAAAAAGAATGCCCTTTTTATGCACATGTATTTCACACAGGTTCCTGAGTGACCCTTTCCCACGCCGACCACATCGCTGCCCCCCGCAGTCAGCTCAGGGAGACATTCTGAAGCCACGACAATGAACCATAAATAGTCAGCAAGTTGGGATCATTTGTGCTGATTTTATTGTTCATTTTCACTTTTTACTATGGAGGTTTTTGAACACATACAAAAATAGAGGAAATTGTATAAGAAATTCGAATTTTTACCCTTTACCTGCATCCATCCTTCATTTTTAAGCAAATTCTAGAATGCTTATCACTTCATTAGTAAGTCATTCAGTATGTCTCTAAAATATACACTTAACACAATGCCATCATCAACACCAAAAATTCTCAGTAACGATCTAATATCATATTTTTTTTATGTGCATTTTAGGAACTGGCGCTTTTCTACAAAAACAAGCGTTGCAGCTTTGTCTAGTTTCTCTTCCCTCTCCTGGCCCA